GTCACACACTATGGTTGCAGCAGCAAGGCTGCTCACTTCCCACAGCATCTTCTTCTCTCCCTGTACCACTTTTTTCTTTTATCTAGTATCAATTCTCCAGCACAGAAGCCATATTTTTAATGTGTTAGATCTATTACTTGTTCACAGCAGTATAGATTGTGAATGTGAGCAAATCTGAGTACTACATTTTCCTCATTATATACTCCCCAGCACACAGCTGGATAATTAGATCATAATAATAAGAAATTTATTATTAACAAGATTAAATTTAATTAACAAGAATGGATCTGTGGAGGAAATGCATGTGGCAAAAGCCCGGTGTGAGAAGGCCCTGCAGCCTCCACAGATCCTTTTCCTGTTTCTCTTTCTGCTGCTCAAAATTCAATGTTGAAACATCAGTTTCAACAGCCTTCACATGTCAATGCCACATAACAAGGGAAGATCTTGACCAAATCAAAGGCTTCTTTTACCTTGGGGAGCACTGATTTTAACAAGGTCATTTGTCTTTCCCTTTCCGTTCAATCACAGAATGAAAAATTGCAGAATTTACAGAAAATAGTCATCAGCACATCATCTTGTCAGACAATTTCTCTGGAGACAAATAACTGTCAGGTTTTCTCAGCCTAAGAAGTTAATCTGAGCACTGTCTGTGGTCTAGTAATTTTGCTAAACTTCCTAGTGCTCACACCAAGCCAAATGTTCAGATTACTAAAATGAAAATATTTAAACATGTGATTTTAATTAAAAAATGTCCCAGAACAAGTGTTTGGATTCTCAGATACACCCTCCTTTAGGGTGTTATTTGGAATTGTTTTGCAATTATGTCTGTAATATGAACTAAATCTTTGTGATACACCATAGGCTTGTCTAGTAAATGTAACTGTCTCCCCTCTACATTGTATTTTCCTTGGTCAAGATTATTACCCCCCTTGAGTACCTTACTTAGCCTTTTGCTATCTGACAAGCCAACTAAAAAGTTATTTGAAGCTGTAAATAAAGAAGTAGAATATTTAGAACTATAAAAAGTAATCTGAATACTTCTATAAAAGCACCCATCTGGGGAACGTTAAATGACTGCAATGTATAATCAGGAATAAAAAGTACCACAGCAAACTGGAACTGTCATTTCATCTCCCATTAAAAGATTAATTATTTTTCCTTTGGCAGTGATAGCAGTTGAGCTTAAACATAATGACACATGATACAAAAGCATCAAAGCTTCTTTTATAAGAGCATATTGATAGTCATCTGCCTGGGATCCTACAAAGTACCATAGGAGTTTTTTCCCCCACATTTGATCCAGCAGGACTGTTAAGTAGTTCGTCAGAGGCTGCAGAAAGGCTCAGGAGTTCCTGAAATCAGAGTGAATCCCTATTTCCAGAGTGGGTTTTGTTTTTCAAGATGCTGAAGGTCTTACTGCTCCTAAAACATCTGCTTGCTTAAGGGATTTTTAAATGTGAGCCTCCTCACTTGTGTTTGGGATTCATTAACCCTTGGGAGAAGAAAGTCTTCCTGCATATCTAATACAATGACCTGAAAACATCTGTATGTAAAAGGAAGCCTACCAATGGCATGACAGCATAGTTCTATGCAATAATCCTGTTGCTGCTGCATGGTGGCTGGTTTTGGGGGTCCCCCAATGCCTCCAAAGATGCAACTTGAGCTGCAGCGAGCCCCAGTGCACAGCTCAGCCACCTAGTTTAAGGGGCCTGATGACTTCCAGGAACTGGGATGAGTTTCCTGGGCAGTCCAGCCTGATTTTCCAGCAGATGGCAATAACCCATAATGGGAGAGCAGGAGCAGCCCTGCCAAATCCCGGTCGACTGTGAGAGGGGAAAAGCAGGGAAGAGAAAGCAAGCCAATAAATAATAGATTACTAAAATCTAGCCAGCTAGAAAGTGCATACACAGGAGAGGGGAAGAGTGCATAATTCATCTATAATTGCTTGAGGAGGGGATTTAAAATAGAGAGATGGGTTGCACATTCCTTTTGTTTCTTTTTTTTTCAGGTTTCCGGTGGTGGAAATGTGTTTTTATTCACCCATCTTGGACTTAGGGCTCAAAGGTGACCCAGCTACCCTCCTGCCATGTCAGGTGACACTGCTGGTCACACACAGGGTGCCAAGGCATATCTGAAGCATGACCTAAAAATGACTGTTGTCTGTAATACTGCAGGCAAAAAGTGGTGAGCATAGAGCATGCATCTTAAAAAGACAGGGACAAAATCCTGATACTATCTTGTTGATGGCTATTTGATAGCTTCTGAAAATACTTATGAGGAATTTTTATCTTGTGATTCACCATGAATCATCCTGCTCACTTTTCAAACCATCAAAATTATGTGAAGTTTGATTTTGTCACAGCAAATGGAAACCATTTAGCTTTCTTGTGCTTCTCCGGAATAAATGAGGGAACAAGAGAGAACAACACAGGTTGGCTAACCTGGAGTCTATAAAGGATATTTCCTTGGGAATTTAGCAGGTTTGTGCCTAGAAGTGATGACTTTGTGCAATAAACTTACTTGCATTTGTCAGTTTCAAACATCTCAAAAACTGGTGTTACAGAAAGCAACACACAGACCCATGCTCTGAGCTCACAGTTCTGCTTGTGCCAACATCCCGTCCCTGAAAGTCAAAACCATCAAGCTCTTCTGGAGGAATAGCAAATGCGACTACCTGCCCTGGTTTCCTATTCACTGGGGGGGAAGTACAAAAGGCTGGCCCATGCTGTAAAACTTGATTGTTTATAACTGCTGCTGTTCACCGCTACCTGCGTAAAGCTCCTTTTGTTTTCTCATCTTGCTATGCTCTTGGCCTGAGTGAAAGACTTTGGCAACAATTTCCATGTTCCAATTTGTGTGAAAATCTTTCTCAGTTTCTACTCTGTAACATTTCAGTATCACTGAATGTTCCCTTCTTTTTTCTTTTCTTTTTATAAAAGAAACTTCAGAAACTGTTAATCTACTTTCTCCTTGCTGGGATGTTATATTTCTCTTACAGTGTTTCCTTGTGCTAGTCTCTTCCAAAGATAATTCATTTTCAACGTGATAAAAAAAGGCATAATAAAGTGGAAAGAATGGGTAATGACCACTCATGCAGAAAAATACTGAGAGAAGTCAATTCTTTCATTTTGATGTCTCCCTTGCCCTTTTCCAAGAAGGAAACTAGAAGGGACGAGGAAGGTAACTGTTCTGGATGGGTATTTGATTGCGATTCTAATAATACTGTAATTGCAAGAGCAACAGTGGAAGGCTTTATATATTAGAAACTTGTAACTGTTTATTATTTACCTGCCACTGTATCAGCAGACCTGTTCTAACTTCTGCTGGCAAGACAGCTTCTCAGCCTCCACCACAATCTGTTTCATGCCTATTTTTGAATTATGATACGTTCAGCACCTAATGAGACATTCAGTTCGTGGCTTGCATGGAGTACGTGGTTCAGATCACCAGCTTTGTGTTTATTTTACTGTTCTGCCATGACAAAGCTGATGCAGGGAGGTGAATGCCAGCATTATCATTCAGTGCCAGATGGACTAGCACAGAAAACTGCAATTTCAGAGACCTGCTCAGAAGTAATTGTCATGTGCTTTATTTTCTGACCAAGAGACAAGATGCCTACAGAAACTGTGTTTCTTTTAGTGATAACTTGTGGTTATTGATGCACTAAACAATTTCCATCAACCAAGAGTAGGAATGGATGATGTATTTTCCAGTAAATAGTAAATTCACTGGAAAAAACAAATACAGTCTCATTCATTCAAAAACTTCATAGGTTTGATCTGAATTCGTTTGAACGATGCTGCCTAGGGAGAGCAAAGGAAGAGTGATGTCACTGTATTCCCATCACGGAGCTGGGGGAAGGAGCTGTCTCTCTTTGAACATTCACTCTCAGCATGAAAAAACGCAGGTTCAGTGTCTGCTTGAGGGGATTTAAGCCCCCTCCACCACTTTTTTCTTAGTTCTTCATTGCTAACTGCCATGCCATTGAATATTCTGGGGTGCCTACAATCCTGTTGCTGCTGTTCCATTTAGCATTAATAATTAAATCTGGACTGAGCTTCAGATATCTTCCATCCTTGAGGAGCGCTTCAGGCTGAGAAACATTCACGTCCTTTGTTGAAATGACTGCTCATATATTTTCCACACATTAAGACTGTGCCAGGCAGAGGGACTGAAAGTGGCCCACTTTAGAGTGACTGTCTCATGGTAAGGATGCTAGTCTAGAAGGGATGGTAAACATGACTTTAAATCCAGTTTCTGCTTCATTTGCACTAAACTACAAGCTCTTTGTTTTACTCTAAAAACTAGCACATTTAAATTTGTTTTGACCCAAGTCAGGCCCTGGTTTTAATTCCTCCTCCCCCCTTTGCTTTTTTGTCTCAGCAGGAAGCTTGAGAACTCTCACTCCCCTTTCATTAGTTGCAAATATAATGATAACAGAACTCTGAGCCAATGAACACCTCTCACTTGGCTTTGGAGTTTATTCATCCCTAAGGTATAGCTATTATTTTGTAATTGGAAGCACCTTCTAGGTATTCTTTTATCAGTAGTATAAATAGATACTTACAGCTCTGCTACTATTTCCTTGTGAAGCTGCCTTAGCATTAACAGCTTTTATCTTGGCTCAGCTGTTTGCAGGAGCTCTGGGGCCCCTCCCTTGCAGGACATAGTTTCATCCTGACCGAAACCAGCATCCTACACAGTGTTCACTTTGTCTCTAGAGCTGACAGGTGCTGCACCATTTTTCTTCCCACTCTGCAGGAAGAGATCATGATCTCAATTATGTAAAACAGTGGATGGATCATACATATCATGTACTGCTAAAGCCATGACCTAGTATGTACAAGGCTTCTAGACTTTACAATTACAAAATGAGCTAATTAGAACTGGCTAATATATCCATGGCTTTATTTCACAAGCTTCAAAAGAGACTTTCCCCCTTTCAAAAATCTTTGTATTTGTCATCAATATTTTCATTAAAATGCTTCGCATTTATTAAATTGAAACCTGACTTTCCAAATGGAGTCTGTGAGTACATGAATCAATGATTTTGATGAAAATAAGAGAGTCTGGAGATTGGCCTAGTGACAGTGGCACAGGTAAGAAGTTTATCTGAATGCTTTAGGGCGTGCCAGCACAGTGAGTGGCTGAGGTTGCAGGTAAAGGCATTGGACAACAGCTATGGTGAAGAGGTGCAATGCAGAGTCACAGCTAACATCCTCTTTCTTGCCCCCTTTATAGAAAAAGGAGAAATTGTAAAGTCAAGCTGCAATCTACCCTACATGTGCCACAGGATCCTTCACGTCAGATTGGGGTGTAAACCCATGCTGGGCCAGCTAAAACAGTACAAATTTCCATTCTTTCTAATGACACATCACTATCAATATTTAAAAAAACACAAATAACAAAGACCTGGCCAATTGTTTTTGATTAGTTTCTCTCATGGTTTGTTCTCTAGTGAAAAACTTGAGTGACTCCTTCCTGGCTAGAAACAGCTGAGGCAGCAGAATTAACAGCAGCATTGACTGCATTACCTACAACATTATTGCTATGCCAGCCTTAGAGCAAGGAAATACTTCGTAAGGGTTTCTTCTCCTTTTTCAATGGAAGATGATTAGGCAAACAGGAAGAGCAAGGAAAACAGCAGAGAAACTTGCAGGAAAGCAAACATAAGACCAGATGTGGGTTTGAGTTTCTGAAGATATCTTTATTTGAAGAAGGAGCAACAGGATTGGAAAGGGTTTGGTCTCTGAACTCCAGTGACTCCTTGGGGATGGCTATGATATGCTGAAATTACTAAGAACTCTGAGCCAGCACAGTTTCCTTCGTACCAGCCCACTCAGGGACTTGAAATAATGTTTTTGTCAGAAGCAAAGCACAGAACTGAAAGAAAGAAACACAGTATGTCATGGAAATGTCATAACCTTCTACCTGATTCTTTCTGCAGTAGCTGTTGGCACAGTTTTGTTTTCTCTGTTATGAAGCAGAATTAAATAGAGTTGGTGCAGGGGGTATAATCAACACAGGAACTGAAGTAGGAAGAATAAAAGGTGGCATCTGCACTAGTAAATTAAACATGGTCACAGGCACTAGAACTTGATCATCAATACTGTGAAATTGTTAGAACAGTCCTTCCCATGGTTTTGGGCAGAGGCTAGCTTGCCATCTCCCATGCGTGTCCTGCAATTAGACCTTTCCCAACAGGTAGTCTACATACAAACTCCAGATTTTGAACAGAGCTCTATGGCTGTGGGGCCTTCTGGGCCAGTTGGCCTCACCATCTGAGAACTGCTTGGGCCTGCTTAACTCACTGGTGTAGGCACAGCCACAGAGAATTCAGGGTCCTTCACATTCTTCTTCGACATAAGCAATAAAGTCACATCTTTGCTCTAAATGTATCTTACAGCATCTTGAAAGGAGTTATGATTTTTCCTGATTCTAGTGCTCTCTCTGAAGTCATTCAAAATCTCCACCCTCCTGATGACAAAGAGCTTTTAAAGAAAATAATAATAATAAAAAAAAGCCATTTTGCATCCATTTGGTTTAGCTTCTGTTGGTGTTTCCCCTGACATATTTTCAGAGAGAAACCAAAATCCCTCTTCACCTTTGTTGTGTTCAACTAGAGAACATGGAAATGCTTAGCGACCTCACAAAAGATGGAGCGCACTGTTAAAGTATTTCAAATAGTCTCTTCCATGCTAAATCATAGAAAAGCATTTTTTTTCTTTCCTACTACTGGCTATTCAAGTTCTCATTTCTGTTATGGGTAGAAAGCACCTCCTAATTTCCAACTCATGTATCTTCACAGCTTGAACAGGAAAGCCACCCTGCACATACAGCATTTCCTGCAGCAGCAGTTTGCCCAGTCACACAGACAGCCCTGGATGCTGCAGCTGTGTCTGTCTTAGGAAATAAAACAGGCTATGGCTGTCCTTTGGAACTGGTGAGCTGGCACCATTCATCAGCTAAACTCTTTCACCCTCAGAAACAGAGTAGGTACATCCAAAATGCCTAATTCCCTTTCCACAGTCTCTGGTCTGTGTTATTTCTCAAACTGCTTGGACATGGAAAGATGCAGTTAGACCAAAACCATGCCAGGGAGCATGCTAACAATTGAACATGGTGGGTGGCCTTATTTGTTTACCAGCACAGCTATAGCCTTGGACTGTGATTTGAAAGAATGTTTACTGAGTTGAACATCATAGTTACCAGATGAAATATTTTTCTGTGTCACTGGGATCCATAGAGTGAAATCTCTTCCATCAGGACTGCTCTCCTGCTGTAGCACTTTTCTTCAAGATCAACCCCACGGTGACCAAGCAGCATCTTTAAAAGAAAATACGTTTATGGAACAAAAGATTTCAGAGACAATCTGAAATATAACACATACATGTATATTTTTCTGAGGATAGGTAGGACTAAATTCACTTCAGGCAGCTGAAATTTAAAATTCTAATTATTTTTTTTTCTCTGTGTAAATTATTTTTGAACATGGCAAAAAATTTTGAACATGGCCATTCACCAGTTCCAGTAGCAATGATTTCCACTGTTTAACTACATCAACAGACTCTAGAGTGCAGTTGTTCTGATCACATACAGGCACCTACTTTAGGATGAGACTAATTATTCTCCAGACTTCTTTGACTGTAACAAATACAACCCCACTTATTCTCATGGGAGATTAGACACCTAACTTTGATGTAGATACAGACTGGTAGATATCAAAAACACTTCCCTGGCTTTACAATATGCCTGTTAAGCTGAGATTGAATCCCATCCGGTCTATGGATTTCTGCTGCTCCTCAGAAACAGCATTCAGTATAAACAGGACAGCATCATGGTCACTTTGACCATCCACTGGGAACTTCACTGGATCTTGAGAAGCCTCTGTGGGATTAGCAATGTGCAGTACAAGTTTGAACTTCCAGTTTCAGAGCACCCAGAAGCGAGTGTGCTGCTTGCTGGGCCATGCCAGGACCTTGCACTGGAGCGAGTTCTGAACTTGTGTCATTTGGGGAACCTGAAACTCCCTTGTGTATCTCCTCTAAGTCTGAATTTTGTGCAATAATAAAAAGGACTTCAATACAAATAAAACATTTAACATAAAAGGTTTTATTTCATTGGTTTTGCACAGCTCTGTAATATCTTCATATTTATTTTGATTCAGCTTATCAGTGGTTCATAAACACAATTCCTTCTTTTCATTAGAAAAAAATAACCTACTTAGAAATAAAAGACACTGGTGCAGGACTCTCCTTAATTCTCCAAGGTATAAATGCACATTTACATTGTGCTTTTTGAATATCAATGTCTTTCATTATAGGTTTATCCCAGGAAAGTGATATTACTATTTAAAGGATTGATTGTACCTTCTCTGTATTTTGTTTGTTAGTTCATACTATGGCTAGATCAAGACATGATTAGTGCAGAGCTGACTATGATTTAGCTTAGCCAAAGGTCTTAAGTCAAGGTAGAACAAAGAAATATTCTCCTTCACCCCATTCTAACGATGCTATGATTCTATGATTGTCTGCTTTAGCAATCCTGTCAGAAATACTTTTCTCTGCTTTTAATTCTGTGCTGTGACTCAGAGGTGTATTTTCATGCTCAACACAGAAGAGACACAGTTTGGAATGCTATGCTTAAGAAGACAAAAGTGATAAACAGTTTAACTACACAGGTAAGTAGTCAGCCTGGTCTTGGCAAGAGCAGAATTAAAGGATCAGTTGGGCCAAAACAAACCTCGCTTTGTTCATTAGTAATGCTGACAATCAGGCAGTTGTAAAAAATGGTTCTTTGCCTGCAGACTGAGACTGATAATACAAACAATAAACACATTTGAATTTTTGTCAGATTCTGTTGGATGATCTCAGGGAGAGATAAATACTGAACACCACCACAGTGACCATGTGGCAAATGAACAGAGAGGAGTAAAAAAGCAGGCCATTCTGGCTAATAGGATTTATAAAAATAATCTGCTGGCAAGATAAAAAAATCTTACAAATTCCTCTCTGCTTTTGTCACAGTAAACCAAATAATCTTCTCAGAACTGTGAATAAAAGTTCCTCCTTAAGGCAGAGAACATTCCTTTGCAGTGCCATGGTGAAAGAAGTTCTCTGAACTTCTGAGAAATCTGGGTTCCTATTTCTCTGTTCTTTATTTTCATTGTTCCCTTGTCAATTGACTTGCCTTATAATGCACAGTTATATAAATAAAGGTGGCTCATCTGTTACTTGAGTCAGGAGATGGGGTGTAAATTGACAAGTTCATGCAAAAAGCCCACAGTATCTGCACTTTTCTGAAAGTGCTTTTGTAGTAGCGAGAAAGAACAGAAAGGAGGAACTGATTGTGTTTAGATGTGTAGGTGGGAAAAGTATTTTAGACAGAGGTGAGAGGCTAGAAGCTGTCAAAAAACTGAGAGTAGGAGCAGATTAGACAGGAGATACGCCAGGTATCAAGGCAAGTTGAACCAATTTATAAAATACACTTGTAAGTAGTATTTGAAGTAAACCAAACATATTTTCTAGAACCAGTATTTCAGAACCATTTGCTTAATTAAGTGCATTTCTTTGACTAAGTTTAGGTTTCTCTAGTGCATATCACTATTGAGGTTATATAAGACCAAACTGAGAGACAAAGCCTCTGAAATAATGGAGTGAAAACACAAGGAAACGGCAAAATGAGCAAGGTAGGTATCTGCAGTATCTGCCTGCAAGATGTGAGAGAGCTTTTTGTATTTACCTTCTCAGTCATTTCCGAAAGAAAGAATCAACATAGCTCATAATGAGATTAGTCCGTTTGGTAAGGGGGGGGGGGGCGGCGGCAAACAGTGAATAAACAACCCAGATTTAATGCCGATCCCGCTTTAACCAGCACATTTCTGTCGGTTACCTAACATCAGTCCTGGTATTATGAGTAACAAGACAGCAATGTCCAAGCCCAGATACACATTTCAAATTAAATTAAAACATGACGTGCATCTAGAATTACTGCAATTGAGGCACAAAAGAAGGGACAGCTGAACTTGTAGAGGTTTGAAATAGAGGACTTGGAAAAAAAAAATTGCAAAAAAAGTAAAATAGGAGTTTGTCATTCAAATTTAATAGGCTCAGAGTTTATACCCATGACCTTGGTATTTCAGAACTTTGTATCTACAGAAAGGAAGCATCCTTTCTATGTCTAATTCATACACCAAAAATGGATTCCTCCAAGACTGGATTTTCAGAACTATGAAACTTGTTTTCCATGGGTTTGTGTTTTCTGACAGACTGTAAGTATTGGGTCAACCTTTTCTCCACAACCATGTCATTTTCACTGTCAGTTTCTTAAGTGGCTTTTCCTGCCCCTCTATACAGCTGCCTGCTTTCAGAAAACTTGTGGGAACATAATTACTTGGAGACAACTCCCTTTTGGCAAACATAGTTAAATCTGGACAAAGGTTTTGAAAGTTAGGCGTAACAGGACAGACGGACACAGTCCAAACACTGACTTTTTGTAAGGAATCAGCTTACAGAGACTGATGCGTGTGTGCATGTGAGTTATGATATAAAGCGTTCAAACACAATAGATACATGACTTAAGAGTCCTGTAGTTTCTACCATAGTTCACAAATACCACATAAAGCAATTGTAGTTGGCAATTCTTTCAACATGAAATTTGTGAGGTTACTACATGTACTAGATCTTTCCATGTAACGTATGGTCCCATCTGAGTTGTCACTGTGACAGCCATCCTACATCTCCAGGAAAACCAAGTCATGGTGAATAAGGGTTGTGAACTCTAGCACTTTCTACTCCAGTGAAATGGTGGAGAAATCCTCCACAGGCAGAATACGCAACAGATGCTAAAACTGCAACTGGGGCTGGACAGTTTATTTGTAATGAGTGCATTTTGGCAGGGACTCAACATTACATATCTTCTGGCACCTACATCTCTATTATGCATGCTGATATTATGTGGGCCGATTGGTTCAACACTGACTCAGAAGGAAGAGTGCCTTAGTCTGAATCACTAATGCCATGTCCTGCAGCACTCCAGTGAAGCTTTGGCAGTGAGGAAGGATAATTACAGTGTGGTTACTATGACTGATTTTTAAGATAGTTTTATGTATACCTCAGGCGTGTCAGTAGGTAAAATGTAGACAGCTTGCTTAGAAATACCCAAGTGTCCCAAATATACTATTTTCTACCACAAAATCGGGCATAGAGCTAAATCCTGTTAGACAAAAACCATACCCTCAATTTACCTTTTCCCCATACATATAATTTACAAAATAATGACTATAAAACTACTGTCCTTTTACACGTTTCTTTTGCCTTTCAATGATAAATAGTGGAGAGCTCTATAGAGAATTTGCTTACAACAGAAATACTAGCCTCTGGTCTGTTTTTCCTGACTGTGAAAAGCTGCTGAACACAAAGGTGTGACGGGGGTATCAGCCTCACAACATCAACAGAATTTTAATAATGATGTTTTGTGGCCAGACAGCCCAAGGTCTAACTATCTTGGTGTTGAGGGGATATCTTCACAACCTATTCAGTCGAAGACACACCGAAGCAAAGCTTTAAGGCATTTGCAGTGTTTACTACTTGTCTTGCATGTTGTCACATGCCTCCTAATACAAGCCATCAAGGAAATACTGATGTTGGAAATATCATTCAATATGAATGTGTCCACGTGTTCAGCATCTATCAATTTTTATCCCTTCCTCAAATAGAGTCTCAGTTTTGTTTCTCTCTTTCTGTTCCTTGCACTCCTCAGGTCGCTTTCCATTGCCTTTCTTTTCCTTCAGCAAACCTGTTCTTCCTACATCTTGAGGATTTTAGGGTCTTGTTCCTTCTGTGTGTTAAAATAATCAAAGAAAGAGTTAGGGCCAACATTAGTCTTGATTAGATTAATGGAGCATGGACAGTTTACACATCTCAGTGCCATTGTGTCAGGATGTTTGCAGATTCATTCAGATACCACTGTATCAGTTACAGTCAGTTCATGCTTTCAAAGTTATCTTTGCAACTATGAGGACTAGATCCCTTTATTGCTTTTTAAAAGAGAAGGATAAGATTACTTACAATGTGGAAATGCTGTGAAGGCCACATAAGTATGCCCAAACTGGATGCTTGGCTACTTTTACTAATATGAGATAGCAAGCAAATTAACTCAGAACAGCCGAATGGGGCTGTATCTTACTGTTTCTTTTTGGTCAGCCTATTTAGGAATTGTGGTTTCTTCAGTTTTGAACTATTCAACACTCAAAGCCCCGTCTGCAACGAGAAAGGGTTGTGGTTTTTGCTTTCCATCTGCTCTTTTTATTACGGCGGAAAGGCCTAGATATTCTACATTACCATGTGAATTAGAAAGTGATCTTATCACTCTGGCACTGGATTACTTTAGCAGGCTCTAACAAAGACGGACAGCACAACACACGACTAACCCGGGTCACGCTCACCGACCTGAAATTATGAGCAACCCGCTCTCCGGGGGCCAGGACCCGCATTAGCCGCCCCTTGAGCTCTTGTTCCGGTGAGAGGCCGGCAGCACCAGCCGCCGGCCCCAGCCATGCCCAGCGCTGCCTGGGGCCCCAAAACTCAGCTCTGGGGCCGGCGAGGGGCCGGGGCTCAGCCACCCGCCGATGCTTTTCCCATAGCAGCCTCAGGGGCCGCTAAGCAACACCAGGCCCTGGTACGTCGCCCGCGCCGGGAGCAGCTCGGGGCGGCCCGAACCGGCGGGGCTCGGTGCCCTCTGCGCCCGCCTTTCCCCGCCACACCCCCTGCCTCCGTCGCGCCACGCCCCCGGCACGTGACGGGCGAGCGGTGACGCCGCTCGTGGCCCGGAGCTGACACTCGGCGCGGGGCGGGCGGGGAGCGGGAGCAGTCGCAGCAGTAAGCGCGGACTGGGCCTGGCTGAGCCGTCGGAGCAGGTGAGGGGCAGTGCCGTGTCTCTTGGAGCCGCGGCGGGGAGGAGGAGGTCGGCGGCCGCGGGGGAGCGTGGCGGCGGCGGCGGCGCTGGGACAATCGGGCAGCGCAGCGCAGGGAGTCTCTGCGGAGGGCACGACCTCGCCGGCTCCCAGGGGCCCTGCCCCCCCCCCCAGCACCGCCCGCCCGCCCTCTCCCGGGGATCGTCCCTCGCGCCGCGCCTCCGGTGGGGGTCTGGGCGGTGCCGCCCCGCGGTGCCCCCCGCGGCGGTTTCGCTCCGCAGTCGCCGCCGGGAGCGCCGGGTTGGCGGCGGCGCCGGGAGGCAGGTCTGCACCTGGGCGCTGCCGGGGCCGGGCCGGGCCGCGCCGCCCGACCTGCCGTGTGTGCGCAGCGCCGCTCACCTGTGGGGCCGGTGGGGAACAAAGGGGGGAGGCGCGGCCTTCCACGGGCGGCCCCTGTGACCGGTGTGGGGGGCAACCGTGGGTTATCGTGGGGAGGTTTGGCTGCGGTGGGTGGCACGGGTTTGCTGCCCTCCGTGGAGCCCGGGACTCGATAGAAGCCCGCAGCGGGGAGCAGGTG